GCGAAACTGAGTTTCCATTGTCCTAGATAACTAACGATAGTTCAGTGGGCGAAATGGACGTACAGAGAAGTTCAAACCCCATTGACTCCTCCTTTCTCTGCAAATCTCACAATTCTAAACTTCCACCATATAACGAGCGAATCCAAACGAAGCCCAAAGATGACGTAAACTCTGGGATGTTGCCTTATTTGGTTCTGGCCTGTACTTTTGTCACGCCCAGAAATTGGCCCAAGGAAGGAGGTATGAAGTGTCGACTGCTGGGCCGCTGACTGGACCGGACCTCAGCAGAGAGCCACCCGTCCTCAGCCGGAGGAGGGGGGCCGGTAAGACAGGCGGGTGTAATCAGGGAGCCGCCTGTGTCCAGGCTACCGTCACCGGGTCGGGGTCGGTCGCTCCGTCCCCCGCTGGCTCCCTGCCCCCGTCCGCCGTGGTTCCCGGGCCAGCCCCGGAGCTCACGGCTCGGTTTAAATGCCCGGTGTGTTTCGACTAGGTGCTGCACTGTAGTCGACCAAAATCCCGGAAGATTTTGAAATTCCCCCCGGAAATTGTTTTAGGTATGAAAAGTAGGACATGTCCGCGAAAAAGGGCACATCTGGTCACCCTACCATAGCAACAATTTCGATGTTTCAGTGAGTGAGTGCTTGTTGCTATGATGCGTCTTTGCTCAGCAGCTTCCCTCGTTGTAAACCAACCAATCAGAGCACAGCTCATCTAAATATTCATGATTATACCATAAAAGGAAGAAACCTGTCGTTTCATTCTAGGGCTTTTAACCAGGCTTGCTTTAGGGCTCATAGAACAGCTAATATGCCATTTTGAGCCCAACCAATGTTACACACCCTATTCAGAGACCTTAAGGACCAGATACCTTATAGAATCATTCTATCACCCCTTTAAATGTTAGTCTTTGTACTAGAATATTCTTTCTGTCATTAGTGAGCATTAAGAACTAAAGAGAAGCGCCTTCTCATGGTCAGACCCTGTAATTCACTGAAAGGTTAGAGTCAGAGTAAAAGAATCTTCATGCCCAGGAGAAGGAGGGGGTCACTCCAGCGGCTGGAAGTAGGCTGCCATTCGGCTGACATTTCACTGGGAAGGGCCATTTTGAATGGCTGCTAGTGTAGCACCTAATCACCAAACCCAATTCCTCGCACCTGTGAAACATTTTTCTGATTCTGATTCAAACAGACATTCATGAACCATCGAGGATTGTTTTTCAAAACTGTGTAAAACTGAAAATTAGCTGGTTAGTCTTTTTTTTTTTTACTTACGGCCACGTCTAAAACTGTCTACTTCGTCTGATTTGTCAACATCCTCATATTCTCCACTATCCCAGTCCGCTTCTTCCATATCCGCTGCTTAAAAACATATTAAACAAGCCAGAAACATTTTGAAATAGAACCACAGTCTACTTGAATAAGCAACTAAAGTGGAAGGAAAACTTACGTGGCATCATGGCTTTCATTTTTCTTCTGTTAATACGGTATCGCACAAATATCACAATCAATACCACCAGAATAAGACAGAGCAGCACACCGACAACAATCGGAATAGGATCTGGTGGAGCAGTAGGCGGGGAAGAAGGCGGGGGCGTCGTGTATCCTGAAATCAAAGCAGACATGCAGCAGGTTGATTTCCTTTTCTTTACTTCTGCATCATAGCTAAGACTAAATTTGATTGTTGAAATAAAATTTTAAACTCCCTTCTTTTAAAAAATGTATATTTTGGTGTGCTTAATTTACCAACACATTGGATATTCGCTGATTTCCCACTTGAACAGGTGTCATTTATACAGTAACGAAGATTTTTTAGACGATTGTTCGGGCAGACAAGACTGGTTTCTACTTTTTTGTTCTGAAAAATGAAAGATAAAACTTTTAAAATAGATGATTTTTAAAACACTTTAAAGGACGGCATGTTGTTTTCTCAGGTTTCATGTAAAATTCTGGAATTTAATTAAAATCAATCGTATCTAAAAAGAGCAAAACTGGAACATCTGTCTTAATAGTGACTTTTATTTTTAGGATTTACCTTTATAGGTTGGGTTTTGTTGTTACAGACTAATTCTTTACACAGTTCCTCCTTTATCGTTTCAGAAATGCCGTCTTGGCACAAATTCTCTGGTTCTCCTTTATAATTGACCGAGAGAACACCACCGCACCCGTCTGATGCCCAGAAACGAACACCACCTGTAAAAAACAAAGAAAATTATCAGATAAACTGGATTTAGAAATTGTTGAGCTCTGGACATGGAGATTATTTTTTAAATTAAATGAAATCATAACAATCATTTCTAAATTTATTTGCCAGCTGGTGAATACGTTTTCACGTCTTTTTTAAAAGCCTGTCAAGCAGCCACGGGTGTCTATACGGTACTCAACGCTGTAAAAAGTGCCAGCCTTTTGAGTCTTAGTGTCTGCTGACCTGCAAAGAACAAAAAAAAACAAAACAAAAAGAATCTTCATCCTCCCAAGAATATTCTTTATTCACCATGAACCTAACATAACCACGTTGGAGAAGAAATTATCCAAACTGAAATTTTGTTTTTCGTTTCTTACAGTAGGTCCAAAACGTTTCTCGTCCAAACAGAAAACCCTGCCAGTGAAAACAGCGTCAGGCTCTGGGTTTTTATTTTCTTCAGACGGAGTCGGGATTGGGGGCTGTGGGTAGCACTATTGCCTTGCAGTAAGAAGGTTCCGGGTTCCAGTCCCGGCCTGCGGTCTTTCTGCGTGGAGTGTGCATGTTCTCCCTGTGCATACGTGTGCTCTCTGTGGGTACTCCGGCTTCCTCCCACAGTCCAAAAACATGACTGTTAGGTTAACTGACTTTTCTAAATCGTCCTTAGATGTGAGAAT